TCTGCTGGGTGTCCTGGCAGGAAATATCTGCAGGACATTCTTACAGCTTTAGTGATGGAAAATAAGAGTGCGCTTAGAGAAGAAGTATGTATTTCTTAGCCATGGCTTATCTGCTGGGAGGTTGTCTACTGTGCTCATAGGAAAGGGAAAAAAGAGAAGGGAAAAGCCAAGAGTTCTGATAAAACTGGTAGTCTCTGGGGAGGGCGTTAATGAACTAACACACTGGCTGAAGGCAAACATGAGCAGAACTCTTTAAGAAGGAGGAACAGCAGAGAGAGGCGCCGAGGCTGTAAGGAGGGAGTTTGAAGTTCAAAACCTGTTGTTTTATGGGGAAAATGAGCACTTCTAAAATCCAGATACCCTCCTGGGAAGATAAGTACAAACTGTGTCTTTGTGGGAAGGAGAAGTTTATCTTTAATTTCACCAACAGCATTAAAACAAAGGAGTTTATAGTTAAAAGTTGTGGGGGTTTAATCATTACTATATTAAACTGGACAAGCTTTTTCATCCAGGCTTTAACTGAATGTTCATGTGTCTGATTAGAAAATACATTTTTCAAGTTCTGTAACCAATAAAAAAAACCTTCAATAGCAGAAATTCAACCTCTTTATACAAAACAACTGCCACACTTCAGCCCCAGCACTATGAAATCCTGGTGGCTACACATAAAAAGCAGGATTTGAATGTTAGATAGAACCATAGAATAATAGTATCATAGAATGGTTTGAGTTGGAAAGGACCTTAGGATCGGTCATTCCAACGCCTCTGCCATGGGCAGGGACGCCTCACACTAGACCATATCACCCAAGGCTCTGTGGCATTGCCTAACTGGCAGTGTCAAGCAGCAGAGATGTAAAGGCATCTATTGCCCACGAGAACCCCTTTGGCTGTGGGGTCTCTCTCAGCTGTGTCTCTAGACCTCCTGCATCAGCAAGGTATCAAAGGGGACATCCAAACCCAGACTGCTTTGTGTTGAAAGGGACCTTAAAACTCTTCCAGTCCCATCCCTGGCCATGGGCAGCAACACCTTCCACTAGAGCAGCTTGCTCCAAGCCCCATCTGATGTCTCAGTGTCTCCCTGAAAAGCCCAGTGTCCAGAAGAAGCACTCAGAGCCCATGCTGGACTGTCTGTCAGTGCCCCATGCCTGCACCTAAATGAATAATCAAAACACTTGAGTGATTTGCTCACTCACTTCATTGTGCCCATCCCATGATAGAGCTGTGCAGCTCTCCTGTGACATCTGGACCAGGAATAACCTCCACATCCCAAGTGCTTTGTATTAGCTTTTGCCAGTTATTGGTATTGTAGTAGAATGGATAATGCTGTTTGTCACACACTGCTGAAACACAGTGTTTAAAAAAGCATTTGTAAATAGTTATCATTTTCCTTTTTTGATTGTTTCCAAGATCTTGATACTGTTAAAGGATTTTTTTCCCCCCACATTTCTCTTTCCAGCTCAAAATGTTATCAGATGCTTTCCTGGATTCCCACAGCTGTAGCTGTGCCATGTGCTCCCATGCAGGAGAGCTTGCTTGGGCTGTGAGCACCAGTGCTGCACATTCTCCAAAGGCTCAGGCTGCCAAACCCTCAGTGAGTTCAGAAATCAATCTGGGTTTTCCCAAGCAGATTTCGGAAAGGAAAAGTGGATGGATGGGTGCTTGGGAGGGAGGAATTTCTGGCAGTCCTGGCTATAAAAGCTGGAAACTCTGGGTTAGTTTTGGTTTGGTTTTAATTAAAACTAATTTTTGATGGCGTTTTCCATGATACCTAAATTTGGCCATGTTCAAACGTGAGATTTTGTGCCCCTGCTACACAGAAACCATTGTCTATGACCAGAGAAACCTGCTCTTTGTCCAATCACAAATGGTGCTGCTGAACTGGTATCACATCAGCTGTGAAAACACAAGGAAGAGAGAAATTTAGGGGGAATTTGAGTGAAACAAACAGTAGTCACAAGCTGTGGCTGCCCCATCCCTGGCAGTGTTCAAGGCCAGGTTGGACACAGGGGCTTGGAGCAAGCTGCTCTGGTGAAAGGTGTCCATGCTCATGGCAGGGGTTGGAACTGGGTGAGCTTTAAGGTCCCTTCCAACCCAAAGCATTCCATGGTTCTATGAAATTTGTTTGACATTTTCTTACAGATCATGTGTGCTTTCTTTGAAGGTGTCAAAGTTGATAAGACAAAAGGTTCTTGCTCCCAAGAGCATCTCCAAGCTGATTTTACCTGTGCACAGGAAAGGGGGAGATACAAGCTTTGGCATCACCGTTGGAGTTGAATTGGTATTTCTGGGAGAAGGATGAGAAAGTGAGAGGTGTGAGCAGAGTGTGGTTCTGATTCCCAACTGAGTCATCAATGCACTGGGAAAACCTTCCTCAACCATTTCACTATCGTGTTCTTCTTTCTTCTTCAGTCCATTGAGGCACCAAGTTCTCCAAAGCCACAACTGTGCAAAGCTGCATCTTTGTACAGAGTCCAGCAGGGATCAACCAGGACTTCCAGTGGGACTTTGAGGCATTATGGAAATAACAAAAAACTGTGGCAAAAAAGCAAGGGGAAAAACCCCGAGATAGTGGTTTCTGCAGGGTAATTATGCTGAACTGAATGTGGAGAAAACATCGTGGCCACAGCCAGACAGGGAAACTTGAGTAAGTGCTAAACTGTTGAGGATGTTGAACTTAGGCTATACTCCATGTGGATGTTTTGTTGTAAATGTCTGGCTGTGGTTTGAAATGTGCCCTGTGGTGATTTCCAACCCAAATATTGGCGTATTTGATAATGAATGAGATCCAGGAGATGAAACTCTTTGGCCTATTTTCAGGGTCAGTCCTAAGGGAAATGCCTGCAGTTAATGCTCAGCAAAAGGTGAAGTACTGTAAATCTGTGAATCAGAGTTCCCTTGGGTTCTGGCTACTTTTGTAATCAAACCTGAAAGGAGAAATGGCAAGGAAATGCTTTTTACTTAATGCATTTTAGGCTGATATGATCCATCTTAGATAATGCTAAGGAATTCAAGTTTTATTTTCAGTTTGTTTCAAGCAGGCATGATGATTGGCCCCAAAATAGCATATAATCCTATTACTGCTATGATGGTGAGAGGGTTTGTGCTTCCCATGCTAATGTCTTTCTGTTCCCTCTCTCCTGGGAGCAATTTTCCTCTTGCTTTAAGAGCCTCAGCAAGCCTATGGCTGCCTTTAGTCACTGGCATGGCAAAGCTGGTGTTTGCATGGGATGAGTTCTGATCCGTTCATCTCGCCAGCTTGCAGGGAGAGCAGTCGAGGTGCATGCTCCAGTGGCAGTGAGGACACTTCATTTAAGGAAGCTCTTCCCTGTGAGGGTGCTGAGGCACTGGCACAGGGTGCCCAGAGAAGCTGTGGCTGCCCCATCCCTGGCAGTGCTCAAGGCCAGGCTGGACACAGGGGCTTGGAGCAAGCTGCTCTGGTGGAAGGTGTCCCTGCCCGTGGCAGGGGTTGGAACTGGAGGAGCTTTAAGGTCCCTTCCAACCCAAACCAGTCTGGGATCCTGTGAGGCAGAAATCCCAATACCGCCTCTGCCTCAGGTGATTCCAACTCCATCTTTGTCCTCACTTGGGCTCAGAGTGCTTGGGATACCCACAGTATCTGTACGCTCTGTTGGCTGGGTGTATTAAATATCTTTATAAGTTTTTAGTGGAGATGGTCTCGGCCCTGGGGTAGCTGCTTTATTTTTGTTGTTGGTTTTGGTGGTATTTTGTGGTTTTACTAATGTAATCAGTTGTGTTCATATCACTAAGCTGTAGCTTTTGAATTGCTTTTATTGTTGGTGTTAAGAAATCCTTAGGGATTCTAAGCACATTTTAAAGAGAATGAATGTAGCTTATGAATGACAGAAAGGTTTGAGACTGGTACCCTGCGGTTATGTTCTGAGCTCCATTCCCGCTTAACTGCAACACTTGGGAACACGTCATTTATCTTCTTTGTTCTTCACTTTTTGTCCATGCAATGACTAACTAATGATCACCTGCCACAGAGTCTGAGAGGCTTGGAAGGAAGTTGCAGTATAGCTGCTGAGAACTGTTGTTATCATTCTCTCTGTATTTTATGATCTTGAAGTGGGAACTTGGTGGAGACGCTCATGGTGAGGATGGGTGGAACCAGCACAGAGCCACCACCCACCAGCTGGTACATGGAAAGTGTGGCTGTTGCGTAACTCTTTTGAGGGAAGATGCTGTGTTTTCCCTGAAGAGTGGCTATTTCCCCTAACAAGACAGCCTTGAGGGGTCCACAGCCTCGTTAAATTAATCATGGCACAGGGATAATGAGAAACGTGGAGAAATTCTGGAGTCCCAAGCGTGGGCGCTGTGCCTTTCTCCCCCTGCACTAATAGGAGAGCACAAGGGACAAAGAGGAAAGAGTCTCCCTTTTATTAACCTCTTCAACTGTTTCTGTACAGTGAGGTTTTCCTTGACCCACATTTGCGTGTAAAACTCTCTGTGCTAAATGCTCATGTGGACATTTTATACAGATGTTAGAAGAGGGGAGGCTAACAGATTTGGTTACTGAGCTGTAAGCAGCAAATTTAGTGAATATTTTGGTGTTATTTCACCATAAAGAACACATGTTTATTATTTTTGTAATATTATGGGGTTTTTCTTTATGAAAACTATGTGGACAATATGTTTATCATTACATGTAATATCTGTATATGTGCATATTATATATAACTCTCTTAATCTCTTCCTTTCTTGCTCCTTCTTTGGCTTCCTGGGATCCAGTTATACTTCAGAGATTCAGGAACTGTCACCATATATTAAACAAAACCTGTCAAATGCAGTGTTAAGTTTCCAAAAGACTTTAACTTTGTGAAGCTCTATCAGTCCTCATATAGAACTACTTGTATTTTGTGTTGGGACCCTGGTTATTCTTCTCCAAGCATATATGAGAGAGGCCTCTAATAAACGTACCTCCAGTTTGACCTCCCTTTGTAACTCTACTTCATCTTTCATTTTCCTTCTCCAACCTCCAGTTCTTGCTGATAACCTGAAGTCTAACCCAGGAATTAAGTGGCAGTATTTCAGCTCAGAAGAAGGCATTTTCACTGTCTTCCCAGCCCACAAGTTCCGGTGCAAAGGCAGCTATGAACATCGCAGCAGGTAGGATTTGTCTCCTTACAATTCACTGTATTCCTTAAGCACTGATTTCTTTTCAGCGTTATGCTTTGCCAAGATGACAGCATCCATGAGTAACTTTTAGTGGAGTCCCTTGGGTTTTCTCAGGTTTGGTTTCTAAAGCACTAATATTCCCTTTTAAGAAACTTTGAAGTGAAATGAAGTTACATACAGGTTTCTCACTTCTCCCAAATGGAGAAGTTGCAAATAGCAGCAACCTGTAATTGTAGGTCAGCCCATAGGTGAAATTTAACTTATATTTGAGTCATACTTGACCCCTGTTAATAAAGTAGTGAACATGGTTTCTACTGGTTTGGCAGGTCCATTGCTTTGGGGAGAGGGGTAGAAGGATGAGAGACTGGAAAGGGCATTGGTTGGAGCTTTTTCCCAGTCTCCACCCCAGGTTCAGTTGGCACACCATGGATAGTAGGGAAGCAGCAACAGTGGAAACTTTCTAGTGAAAAAGCACAGTAGAAAAAAGGATCAAATGGTGACAGGGTTTTCCTGCACAAGGGAGTGTTTCTACTTGGTGGGCATGAAGCAAAGCAGTTGCAGGGTAGTACTTTTTTCCCTGCCTTTTGCTGTCAGTACTGTGGGACTGATAAAAGACTCAAGGGTGGAATCGTCGAAGAAAGTGCAGTGGCTTTAGTATCTCTGGTCACACAACAGCAAATTGTACCAGCTAATCAATGTGTGTGGAGGAGGTATCAGCACATCAGGTACGTTTCCAAGTAGCTGAGTGCCCAGAGAGTAAGCAGCACTTTGATTAGCCATCAGTGTTGAGCAGTCAGATGTTTACAGATGTTATCTTCTCTGTGTCATCAAAGCATGAAGTGTCTGGGCTTGATTAAGTTTTCTGTGGTCGCGGAAAGGTGTGGTCTGAAGACATGAGAACTGGGGGTACCCCAGTCTTGATCAGAGTTTTGACACTAAAACCATGGGTGATTTCATCCAAAGCATTTACTCTGGGTCACCGTTTCTCCATGGCTACATAAGGGATATCTTCTTGTTAATATCTACTTCAAAGGATAGTTGACGTGGATTAATTAGTTAATACTTAAGTGCTTTGAAGATCAAAGGACCTATATAAGTTCTAGGTACTAATACTAGTATAGAGCTGCAGGCTGTTTTACAATTAAGAACTTATTTGTGCCAGTTGTTTATTGCTGTGCCTTGTCTAAAGTCTTCTGCATTTCCTTTACACTTAAAAAGATTTCTGTGGCTGCCTTTGATATAATAAAACTTAGATCCCCAAACTCACATTTGCCTCTTAACTAGTTTTTGGTCTGGACTAAAGAGGGAAGAGTCTCATCGTCTTCTTAATCCTTCCTCCTCGCTGAGGCTCTTCCTAATTTGTTCCAGGTTGAAACCTTGGCACAAGAGCTTGTGAAATCTCTCACACATCTCTCACAATATTGAAATGGATCTGAGCGCTGCTTCGCTGGAAATACAGGGTTTGATGTTAGCACAGACAGACACATGGCAGCATTGAGAACCTTCACCAGACTTAACTCAGACAGGCCATGCAGTTTAAAACTCTGCAGACCTAAGGGATTGTGGAGCATGACCCATGTGAAATGCATTCCAGGGCTCCAAGAGAAAACTGTTTCTTGGCCAGAAGCCTTCCCTTCTTACCATAAACCCAACAGCCTATGCTAATGCAACCCTGCACACACAGGTTTTTACTTGTCCTGTAACCAGAAAATACCCACTATTGCACTTACTTTGCATGTGAGTAAGGTTCCCGGCACCCAACATCTACCATGAGGCTTGTCTTGCTTGCCAACTATTAATCCAAAACTTGATGTGAGCTGATGCAAACAGTAATCCCAAACACTGCTGCTCCATCAGCAAAATTGCTTATTCCTGGCTTAAACTGATTGCTGTGACAGGAAGAAGGATTCAACACCTGATTTGGGTTAAAATGTTAGAGATTGAAAGCAAAGGCCTTTTCTCTATGTTCAGATTCTCAATTGGTCTTTCCTACTGGAAGCTTTCCTAAAGGCAAAAATCCCTTCTATAACTGATGGGTTGTCTCTTTGTGGGGTGTGTTTTTTCCTTTTTAATTCTTGACTTCTTTCACTTGTAAAGGTTTTGGTGGAAATGACAAGGTGACTCATGATGGGGCTTTGGGTTTTGTTCCTCTTCAGGCCTGTCTATGTTTCCACCGTTCGACCTCAGTCCAAGCACATTGTTGTCATTGTGGACCATGGGGCTTCGGTCACGGAGACGCAGCTTCAGATTGCCAAAGATGCAGCTCAGGTTATCCTGAGCTCTATAGATGAACACGATAAGGTATGATTTCTCCAAGTATTGAGCAGATTTTCGTTGATCTCAACCATGCTCAGTGTTTTCAGTTCTCATCCAAAGCTGTGTTTTTAACTTGTGGTCCATGGACTCACAGGGATCTGTGGTCTGCTTCTAATGGGTGATGAAGACCTGAACTCGCTTTTGGAAGTCTGTGTGTTACAGCAGAGGAAACATCTGGGGATCCACAGGCTTTAAAAAAAAGTGAAATCCACTGATCTAAGGCAAAATCTTGTTTCTGAGTAGTCTTCAGAGGCTCCTTCATCTTGGCAGAGACTTTAGGTGATGGTCAGCAGTGTGATAGAGTGTGCATGACAGAGAACCATGCTCCAAGCCTCACGACTTCAGAAGTCTTAGATTGCTTTGAGCAACTCGTTTTAGCTCTTTTTTTGCTTGTGAAAATGGAAATGATTTATTCTGCTGCTATATTATATTCTGCTGCTACACTATATTCTGTTGAAACATAATTAGTGTTTGGAAGATTCCCAGACAACTGTGATACCGGTAAGGGAAGGATAAAGCTAAGGACCAAAAGCCTGGATTTTATTTTTTGCTCTGCCACAAACAATGAGGAAATCACTTAACCTCTAATTTTAAGTATGGATTACACCCAGGGGCCCATCTGGTGCTTCTGTAGAACCACAGTCTTCCAGTTTGGTCTTTACTTTTAGTAATTCACTGCTAGTGGGACCTTGACCAGTGTTTCAGCTTGGTTTTCCCTTTTCTTTGAGTAGGAATGGAGTTTCAGTCAAATCAAATCAAAGAACAGCTGTTTGTATCCTTTGCCTTAAGTCTTCTCAATAATAGCACAGAAAAAACCCTTCTAACTTCTGCACTCCTGGAGTGTTTTGATACTGTAAAATAATACTTATAGTTTAGCAGAATTAATCGAACTGAGAGTGTCAGAAGTGTCTGTCTTAATAGAACTCTAATGAAGAAAAGACATTTAAGACATTTATTACTTGGTCAGTAGCTCAGTGGTTATGAAACCTGTTATACGGGTGTATAATTACAGCTTCGTTCTGACGCTGTCTTGCATCAGTCCTAATTCCTAATAAAGTATGCCACTCATTTAATAAGGCTGGTATGTTATGTGTATATTAATGCAAGTGTTACCACTACATGCCTTAACTCATTTATAGGCTGAAAATTGATGGTAGATCTGGCTTGCTTTGTCTGAGACGTTAAAGCAACGGAATGCTTTGCCTGTGAAAAGCTCTCAGAGCTTATTTCCTTATTTGATTTGGTTTTCTGTAGCACTCCACTTCTCTATAGGCACTCAAGGCTTTCCTGCAAATGCTCTCTGCTGATTTTGTTCCCAGTTATCTCTAGTTCACTCAGGCTTCTGCCCGGAACAGTGTATTAACTATTATGTACAAGCAGAGCGAAGCTGACTTCATCTGAGGAACAAAGCCTGAAGTCTCTTTTCCTTGAATACACCAGGAGTCTAATCCTTTTCAGATTTGATGGATTTATGCCTCCAGCATTTAGTTTTTTAACAATAGAATTTTAAACCCACGGAATCTCTTCAGTTGGCTTAGCATTGTGTTTTCTGTATCGGTGCATAAAGCACTCTAAATAGGAAGGTAATCCAATATAGTTTCTTCTCTTTCAAGATCTCCGTGTTAACCGTGGCAGACACAGTAAGAACCTGCTCGCTGGATCAGTGCTATAAGACCTTCCTGTCTCCTGCCACTAGCGAGACAAAAAGGAAGATGTCCACCTTCGTTAGCAGTATAAAGTCATCTGACAGCTCCACGCAGCATGCGGTGGGATTTCAAAAGGCTTTCCAGCTGATACGCAATACAAACAATGGCACAAAACTCCAAGGAAGTAAGTCTCTTGTTGGGCAATCCTCAGCATTTCTCAGGCTTCCAAATGTAATTTTATTTGGGATTTTCACTTGGACAGAGGCCAAAGGAATGAAGTGTCTTGAATATTAAAAAGGAAGGGGGGTGGGAAGCACATGCATGTATTAAGTAGCATTTACTTGACCTGGAATCTGCATGAGTGACTTCAATGTGGCCATTCCCTTTTAATTCATATCACTTGCTGCCCTATCTTTCCATTGAACTGTAATGTAACACTAGAGGATTCGATTGCCCGATAGGTGATTTCTTTCCCGAAGGTGTGACGGGGTGTGGGGTCCTTTCAATGAAAATTGCAGTTCCTGCAGGTTCCTTAGTGCTAATATCTATATGGGTAATGTGCCTAACTGGAATCCTGCCTATGGAAGTGGGCCTTGATTCTCAGGGAATAGGTTTTTTTTTTAAGAGTACCAATTATGGGTCATATTTTATGGAACACGGGGTTGGCCTGGCTAAATTTTTCTTCGTCTAAGAATATCCTGCTGGATTTTGGTGCATATATTATGGGCTTTCTCCTTTCCCATTGCCAAGACTGGGGTTTTCTGTAATGAGGATGTGGTGAAAGATGTGGAAAAGATGGATGTGAAACTGAGTGGCACGTCTGCTTGCCAGGAAGCTGTGGAAGGCAAATTCTTGAACCTGTGCTCTGAGTGCTTGTTGAGCAACATGGCCAAAGCTGTGACAGGGTGGAGAAAGCAGATTGATCTCTATCGGTTTAGGCATTTTATGTAACAGATCCTATAGCTTGGTCCTCTGTCTGCTCCAATGAATGCAAATCCTTTAGTGTCCTGAAGGGCACCAGTGTTGTACAGAACAGAAGAAAGTGAAAAAGAAAAGTCCAGGAATGCTTTGGAAAGAGTGAGGAAATGTGCTCCTACTTCATGTGGCTTTCCTTCAGTTTATAAAATGCTGGTTTTCATCGAATCCCAGAACCCCAGACTGGTTTGGGTTGAAGGGATCTTAGAGCTCCTCCAGTCCCAACCCCTGCCACAGGCAGGGACACCTTCCACCAGAGCAGCTTGCTCCAAGCCCCTGTGTCCAACCTGGCCTTGAACACTGCCAGGGATGGGGCAGCCACAGCTTCTCTGGGCACCCTGTGCCAGCGCCTCAGCACCCTCACAGGGAAGAGCTTCTGCCTAAGAGCTCATCTCAGTCTCCCCTCTGGCAGCTTAAAGCCATTCCCCTTGGCCTGTCCCTACATCCCTTGTCCCAAGCCCCTCTCCAGGTTTCCTGCAGCCCCTTCAGGCACTGGAGCTGCTCTCAGGTCTCCCCTTCAGGAGCCTTCTCTTCTCCAGGCTGCCCCAGCCCAGCTCTCTCAGCCTGGCTCCAGAGCAGAGCTGCTCCAGCCCTCGCAGCATCTCCATGGCCTCCTCTGGCCTTACTTGAGCAGGTCCGTATCTCTCAAGAAGTTACGTGCTGCAGCTAGGCATGATTCTGCAGTCTAAGAGGTTTGCTAGCAGGAGTAACACAAGATGGTCCTAAATCTGCATTGGAGGCCAGTCTAAACATGGCATTTATAATTCAGTAACAGATCATCCTGTGCTATCTGATACACTACCTTTCTGATAGCTAGAAAAGGCCCTTAAGTTTAGGTTATACTGCATTTATCTATAGCATGTGTTTATATTGATATATATATCTGCATTGCAATTTTACGCATGTGCATAGATATAAACACACACAGACACACACACACACCCCCGCTCCCTATTTACCTCCAGCTTTCAGGGAGTGCTGGTACTCAGTGGCAGTGTTCTTACACTTTGGGGTGAGGTCCTGCTCAGCAAGGCTGCAAAAGGCACCAGCACAAGGCAGGAAATTCAGACGTGGTGAACAGCACAGTTCTGCCTCACACCAACAGTCCCCTTCTAACTTTTCCACCGTGCATTCAGCAGTGAGGCTGTATCTCAACAGCTTCCCCAACACACCCACACATTGTTCCCTGGGAACAGGATGTTGGAAAATTAACAGTGAAATGAGTGATTTTTTTTTTTTTCTGGGTTTTTCTTTATTTTTCTTTTTAAAGATGAAAAGATTATTTACAAAAAGTGAGGCACTTTATAAACATCCTCTTCTTGACCCTATTGTGTTTCACCCCATGAATTCTGGTATTTGCTTTGTACACATTAGGGCTTCCAAACCTTTCATTCTTAGAGAAATCCTAAATCCAAAGCATTTGCCTTTCCTTTTACTTTTTCATACTTGTGCCCCACCATAGCTGTTTGCTATGAAGCCTAGTAAAAGTCTGTGATTTCACATTAATGAAAGTGTGCCAAAACCTCCTAATCCTAATACACAAACAGTGACAAACAAAAAGGCTGTGTAGGAGGATTCTGCAAGACTCTACAGCTGATGTTCTTGGAGTAACTCCTGATGACTCATGCATCTCCTCCCAGCCAGCACCAGCAGCACTGCAGTATTTTTGTTCTTATTTTCTTATTTTCGAGAAAGTTGCCCCCCTTTCATCTTATTGCACGAGGATGGTAAAAACCTCCTCTTGACAGCCCTATCCAGCAACTGAGCAGGGTACAGTCAGATGAACGTGGTGTTGTACCTGTGGCCTAAAGGTCAGAAGTTGGCTGAAACTTTACTGCTAGATGCTGTTTGCCCCCAGGACAAGAGGGACGTGGAGCTGTTGGAGCGAGTGCAGAGGAGGCCATGGAGATGCTGCAAGGGCTGGAGCAGCTCTGCTCTGGAGCCAGGCTGAGAGAGCTGGGCTGGGGCAGCCTGGAGAAGAGAAGGCTCCTGAAGGGGAGACCTGAGAGCAGCTCCAGTGCCTGAAGGGGCTGCAGGAAACTGGGAAGAGGAGCTTTGGACAAGGGCCTGTAGGGACAGGACAAGGGGAATGGCTTTAACCTGAGTAGGGGGGAGACTGAGGTGAGCTCTTAGGCAGAAGCTCTCCCCTGTGAGGGTGCTGAGGCGCTGGCACAGGGTGCCCAGAGAAGCTGTGGGTGCCCCATCCCGGGCAGTGTTCAAGGCCAGGTTGGACACAGGGGCTTGGAGCAAGCTGCTCTAGTGGAAGGTGTCCCTGCCAGTGGCAGGGGGTTGGAACTGGGTGAGCCTTAAGGCCCCTTCCAACACAGACCATTCCAGGATCCTATGCCATAGCAGAGGAAACATACACAATTTTCCTAAAGCTGCAGCCAAAGCTTCATTAATGCCTGGCTTTGCTTTTTTCCTTATTTTAGCCTCTAAACCAAGGATGGAGCGGGGGGAGGGTAAGGCAGAAATTCCCCCCACATTAACAGCTTTTACTTCATTCTGGCTGAAATTCTTTTCAAGCCACGATGACAAAATGTACAAGTCAAAGCCTTCATACCTATTAAAAAGAAACCCACAGAAAAAGAAAACCCAGATGAGACAAGAAAGTCAGTACATAACCAACTAACCTCATGTGCTTCAGATCACCTGGTGATGTATGATCCCTACAAGTGCCGTAATTGCATGCATAAACCACTGAGATAGAATATGATGCAACAGGTTGGTGTGTGAGGATATGAATGTACGTGTTCCAAGGCTCTGAGGCAGGCCTTTGGCCAAGAACATACTCAGCTTGAAAAACGTGTTCGTCTTCGTGCCCAACGAGACCTGTGATGATGGACGGCCGTGTGCCGTGTCGTGTTTCTCAAGCCTTACACTCTACAGCATCATTAGGGTTGGAAGGGACCTCTGGAGCTCATCCAGTCCAACCCCCTGCCAAGGCAGGGCCACCCAGAGCACGTTACACAGGAACACATCCAGGTTGGTTTTGAATGTCTCTTTTGAGTCTCCACAAGGCCCCTGGGCAGCCTGTGCCAGGGCTCTGCCACCCTCACGGTGCAGAAGCTCTTCCTCGTGTCGAGGTGAAACTTACTGGGTGTTAGTTTATGGCCGTTGCTCCTCATCCTGTCACTGGGCACCACTGGGAAGAGGCTGGCACCATCCTCCTGGCACCTGCCTTGGAGCTGTTGATGTGCATTGATGAGATCCTCTCTCAGGCTGCTCTTCTCTGCACTAAAGAGCTCCAGCTCCTGCAATCTCTCCTCACAAGAGAGGTGCTCCAGACTCCTGAGCATCCCTGTAGCCTCCGCTGGACCCTGTCCAGCAGTTGCTTGTCACTTGTGCTGAGGAGCCCAGAACTGGACACAGCACTCCAAATGTGGTCTCACGAGGTTCACTAGAGGGGCAGCATCATTGACCTGCTGGCCACACTCCTCCCCATGCACCCCAGGTTACTATTGGTCCTCCTGACTGCAAGGGCACACTGCAAGGTTCATAGTCAACTTATCATCCAACTTGTCATCAGCTTGTCTGTCCTACACCATGGGAAAGTGTCAGGTGCCTTTCATCCTGTAGTGTCCTCCAGCTACCACACTGCAAGGCATGGACTGAGTTGCACCCGTGCTAATGTGGGTGTGAAAGAGTAGTGGTGTATGAAAAGGTCTTTCACAGGGTTTTGGGGTTTCTCATGTACAACTCTTGGGTGCCCTGGCACCAGGGGCTGATGAACTTTCCCAAAGGGAGGATGAGGAGGGCCCCATGATCAGCACCAACAGTGATGCTGACCCCCCCCGCACAGGTCTTGCAGCAGCAACACTGGGAAAGTACCATTCACTTTCCATGTGGGAAGTACAATCAGATGCTCCCCTGTGATGCGGCACATCTTAACTCTTCTATAGAATTGCAGGATGGGAGAAGAACAGTGGGGCAGGAGATGAAACTTGCAGGTTTTTGGCTTTTGTTAAGCTCTCTTCATGGAACTGGAGCAGTTTCTGCAGCATGCTGCATGCTGGTCTCACATGCTCCTGCCTGGTTGGAGCCAGGCCAGTGATGTCAGCTCAGGAGAAACAAGCCACAGTGCTTCTGAGTGGCTGGTAGGCACCAAATCAAACCATGTTTGTTAAATGCTATCAATGGAGTTTAATAACAAATCATGTAATTCATAAGACTGCAATGTGTTTATCCACTGTCCCTCTCACAAATGAACCCACTGGCAATACACAGGTGCAAGCAGATGTCAGGGCTCTGCATGACTTCCCTGAATTCAAGTTCTAATGCACTTTCTGCACTCTCTATATAACTCTTTTCAGATACTGATATGGTCATAATTTATCTCTCGGCTGGGATTACATCAAAAGATTCCTCAGAAGATGATAAAAAAGCTACTCTCCGGGTCATCAACGAAGAGAACAGTTTCCTCAACAACTCAGTTATGATTCTTACTTATGCACTTATGAATGGTGAGAAATGATTTTGTGTTTCCAGTGGATGAAAATTCCCTTTCATTGTACAACTACTTTATTAGCTCTTTCAAGTGTCATTCCATGCCTTAATGGGAGCAGTTTGTAAATGGATTTTGGCCTTAGTTATCCAGAGGCTGCCCCCAGATGTTAAATACTTTGGTATAAAATCCTCAGTGCCACTCTATGCTTCTATATCACAGTGCAGCTGCTCAGGATACAAAGTTTTGTTGCTGGAATTGTCTAGTGGCAACCAGACTGAATTAAATGTGATAACCATTGCAACTGTAAACCTTGCTGACACTGCCCATGTTTCCTGGTGCAGCAAAATGAGAGTATACTTGACTTCTGTATCAGTCATCAGCCAGGAGCGTGAATGTAACATCAAACGTAATCCGAAATGCTTTGATAACTTAAGACCCAACTTAAGAGTGAAGGTAAAGGTGAAGATCACGGATGTAGTAGTCTGGCATCCTGTTCTTTTTTCCAACAAAGCATTTTCAGTAAGCAGCATGTATGATGTACTACTAAGAGCTGCACACTGACTCTAGCCAAGGAAACCATGCTTAAGCTAATGTATTGTTTGACTGTAAATTTAAATACTCAATGCAGACCTAATATATACAAAAGTCTTTGATTTTTCTGCAGGAATTGAGCCTGGCACTTGTGTAAAGTATGAAACTGTGATGTTTAAGCTAAAGAACAAAGCCTCTTATCTCCAAGAACGTGTAATGTGCTCCTGGTCATTTATGTGGACCAGCCACGGGTGGAGAACAAAGAGCTGTCCTGTGGATTTATAGGTCACATAAGTCTTTGGTGAAAGATCTTTGCTTAAAGTGGTGATGTGAACAGCATGTTCATTTTTTTGTGCTGTGCAACAGTATGTGAGAGGCAAGCTTATTGAATTTTGTGCTAGCTAATTACTTTTTCTATACTCCTACTAGTTTTTTCAGCGCTTTACCTTATTGCTTAAATAAGCCTATAGTGTGTGCAGTGCTACAGTTTAGTGTATGTATCATTTTGCTTTTATTTCATAGAATCCTAGAATGGTTTGGGTTGGAAAGGACCTTAAAGCTCCTCCAGCTCCAACCCCCTGCCACAGGCAGGCACACCTCCCACTAGAGCAGCTTGCTCCAAGCCCTGTCCAGCCTGGCCTTGAATTTATAGTACTTTGGAGTAAGGTACAGAAGTCTTGATGAAAATCAAGCTGCTTTCATCTCCTTCCTTCTACTTCTTGCATCCCTGTTTCAGAGGGAGTGACAGGTTTGAAGGAACTGGCCTTTCTGCGGGACCTGGCAGAGCAGAACTCGGTGAAGTACGGGGTGCCCGACCGAACGGTCCTGCCTGTGATCAAGGGGAGCATGATGGTCCTCAACCAGCTGAGTAACCTGGAAACAACAGTTGGCCGATTCTATACGAACCTCCCCAACCGAATGATCGATGAGGCTGTCTTTAGTTTGCCTTTCTCAGATGAAATGGGAGATGGTGAGTGCTTCCATTGAATTTAGCTATAAAGCATAAGAGATTAGGTTCTGTTTGCTGACATATTCCCAAATTCACTGTAGTCTTATAAGATGATGCTTTTAGGTGTGTTCTCAAGGCAAATATTATATTAGCCTTTCATGCCAGTAGGTTGTTTTATCTGCAGGAGGTGTAGTTATGAAAAAAGTGGTAATAAGACATGGAATAGAGAGATTTAGGATGGATTCTTATGGGTGAAATTTGTTGTTGTGTACTTGTACATATACAGCATCCATCATTTCATTTGTGGAGAGAAATTCTTTGTACTTGGGGGAAACGATCTTGTCACCTTGAGATGACAGCCATCACCATGCTGCATTTCAGTACTTCTGTATGTCTTGAGGCCTTACAGGTAAACTCAGTGGATTGCAAGCAGGGGAAAGCAACCACCTTAGCAAATAGCAGAAAGAGAGTATTAGTTACTGTACAAAATTCACTCTCCTTAGCTCTTCTTTTAGCTTCTGCACACTTGGTCTGCCTCCAGCACTGGGCAGAAGAGGAAGCCTGAGCTGGCTGGTGACTGCCTGGCCAATCTGGAGTGAGTGAAATGCTGAATTCAGTGGAAGCCTAGTGACAGTTTCTCCACAGATTGTTCTTAATCTTCTTCTAAGATATTATTACTGTTATTCTTCTATCCTGAAGAATATCTAAATGCAGCAGGCGTCTAGCAGTCTGATTCTCCTATCAGTATGTAATTTATGCTGACATGATGAGAAGGTACACGGATCTTCCCTTTTCCCTTAAAATTAGATACCATGTTAACAAAAACTCTGGGTTTGACTAGGTCTGATCTCACACTACATCCAGTAATGGAGAGACTAAAGGTGCAGAGATCCATAGAGATTTTTAGGAGCATAGCATCGTGCCTGTGAGATGACGTGTAAGGAATGCAGAAACCAGTTTCATTTGTGCTCAGGATAAGCATGCACTGTGGGGTGATCCTTTTCGGGTTCTTGCTGGGGGCAGGTTAAAGAGGTAGGGAGTGCTCTTGGGCAGCTCCCATGGTCCTGACAGAGCTCCCCTGGCTGGACACACACCCATCCTTTGGTCACAGCATCACAGAATCACAGGATGGTTTGTGTTGGAAGGGACCTTAAAGCTCATCCAGCTCCAACTCCCTGCCATGGGCAGGGACACCTTCAGCTAGACCAGGTTGCTCCAAGCCCCATCCAACCTGAGCTAATACTTGTTCAAGCATCAGCAGCTTAAGTCCTGCTGTTCTTACCTTTGGGATCTGATGCCCTTCTTAAAGCTCAGAGTACATGTTTGGAAGGTGGGAGTTGCTGGCTTTACCCCTTGTAGTTCTTGGGTGACTCATGTAACATTTCTCTAGCACTGCCATCTGTAGAGATGTGACCATCACAGTGGTGTTAGGAAATACATTTAATATTATTTTGTATTGCTTTAGCAATTGAGCAAGTTCTGTATTTCTTCATTCAGGACTTTGCCTATTCTCAGTCTTGGCAGAGGAGTAGTTGAGAGTTCTGCTGAGTTTAGGTTGCACATTTACTGTGTCTGTGTTGAGTCCCAAAACAAACTTAAGACTATTTCTGAGCACATCTCTTCTGAGTCAGAATGCTGCTTTCTGTGTTTCATAACCCTGGTAATTAAGCTGTATTATTACTCTCTCACAAAGCCATATCCAAGCATAATGGAAACTTTGAGCAACAGAAGGATTAGAAATGGTGCAATCGAGAACATTGGTCTTACCTAAATTTCAAAGTGTACTTAAAAGCTTATGCAGGCAAATGAATTTTATATTGGTTTGAAGTAAAAGAGTCGTTGAGTTTCCAAGTAGCAGTGATGTAGAAGGGAAAGAAATAAGACATTACTGAGAGTTCTTACCTCAGGCACAAGATTCATCCCAAACTGTTGCGTAATTATGGGTATGAGTCCTGGTGCAGTGGCCATACTGGGATTTAGTGAAGCAGAGAAGGTTTAATATTCTGAATATGCAATTAGATGAGAAAGAATTCATCCCTCTTGTTGCTTTACGAGTTCAAATTCTCTTCCTCCCTTCTCCCCCTATTTTTCAATTACCTTAAAGGAGGTTAAAAGAGCAAAATACTACCTTGGCTTTTGAGGCAAATGCGTTGCTGATCTGTAAGGCATCACTTGGAGAATCATAGAATGGTTTGGGTTGGAAAGGACCTTAAGATCATCCAGTTCCAACCCCCTGCCATGGGCAGGGATGTCTCACACTAGACCATGTCGCCCAAGGCCCTGTCCAACCTGGCCTTGAACACTGCCAGGGATGGGGCAGCCACAGCTTCTCTGGGCACCCTGTGCCAGTGCCTCAGCACCCTCACAGGGAAGAACTTCTGCCTTGTAGACTGACATCAGCCTTAAAACATCAGTTGTGGTGTATTTTAATAAATGGATCAAATATAGCTCAGGTTGCTATCAGGAACATAGACATTAACTAACTTGGGTGAGTTAATGAGTTAGTTAGCAGCCAGACATGGCAGATGACCAGCTCAGACATGACAAATAACCTGCTCAGCTTCCCTGCAGGCATGCCAATTTTTGTCTGTATTCCTGCAGGGAATGCTGTATAACAATTTAACTGCATAACATGTTGAAATGATGAAGCACATGCTCTGTTTCCTCTAAAAAGAATTAACTAGATGTTATTGTTGATGGTTTTATGTTATTTCTCTCATTCTAAGGCCTGATAATGACTGTGAGTAAACCGTGTTACTTTGGCAACATGCTGCTGGGGATTGTTGGAGTAGATGTTAATCTTGCTTATATCTTGGAAGATGTCACCTACTACCAAGACTCCTTGGGTTCCTACACTTTCCTCATTGATAATAAAGGTAACTTTTGGCTCAGATAATCTCTTCTACTCCCACTGAGGTCAGTAACCATCAAAAGGAAACTCAATTCTCATGTCTCTCAATAGTTGATAAGTAATGAAAGATACTATCCATTAAAAGATGTTGTTGGGTTAGTTTTGCCTGAGAGTTGCTGGAGACTGTAGTGAATTCATGACTTAAAACTCCTGAGCCAAAGTTTTGTTGAGAAAAGACTTACTCCCTGTGGAGATTTCCTACATGTGTAACAGCTGAGGTTTTCTGTGTGCATTGGGACAAAAGGCAAAACTGATATACATGTGTGTGCAGCTCTTCTGATCCAACCTCTCTTTGTTGCTTGGGTCTTCAAGCTGTCTTTCATTTACACCTTACCTAGTTCTTCATTTGCAGCTTCTTTGATGATACTATTTGCTTGTTCACTGTTAAGCCTTTGCACAACCTGTCCATAGTCACTGTATTCCTTTCCCCTATAAATACTCATTCTGGGCTCAGTTGTTACACTGCACTCAATATATGGGTTTGGGTCTTTCTTTTTCAGGATACACGCTTATGCACCCATCCCTTACCAGGCCTTACCTGCTGTCTGAACCACCACTCCACACAGATATCATCCATTATGAGAACATTCCTAAATTCGAGCTGGTGCGCCAGAACATCCTTAGGTAAGGAACTGGGGTGCAAGGCCAAACATTAGCAGTCCTTAGGGCAATACAGGTATTTCCAGAGGAGTTTTAAGAGAATATAAACTTTCTTTTCCTACAATATCTGGATACTTCGATGGAATCTTCCCCCTCCCAACAGTTCTGGTTTGTTTTTATCACCAACTTTCTTCATTTTATCATTTGGTGTGCTAACCACTGGTTTCCATAACTGAGCCAGAAGATACTCCTTCTAATCTCTCTTCCATGTCAGGAAGATTTCCCACTGTTTGGCCTAGGTTTTTCTTTATCCTTTGCCTAATCCGAGTATGTGTTTTAACTCAAAATGTGGTGGTACATGAGTGTGTTTTCAGCATACATGCACCTTTTCTTCACCCAAAACAGATAACAGTAAATCTCACCATATCTTTGGATATTTTTATAAATGCACAATACATGGATATTTCTTAAGCACTTACTCAGTGTTTAATACAATGTTGGATGTCTTATCTGCCATTGTAGCATTCCCTTGGGCAGCCAGATCATTACAGTTCCTGTGAACTCCTCACTCTCTTGGCATGTGAACAAACTGAGGGAAATTGGCAAAGAAGCCTACAATGTCAGCTATGCCTGGAAAATGGTAAGGAATAAAAGCAACCCCGCTACAGGATGGCATAGCCTAAATTCATATATTGAAGTACGTTAATATACTGAAGTAGTATGATCCATGCATTAATACAGTGGGGTAATATATAGGGATGTACAGGGATGCTGGGGAGGGACTCTTCATTAGGGACTGTAGTGATAGGACAAGGGGTAACGGGTTCAAACTGAAACAGGGGAAGTTCAGATTGGATATAAGGAAGAAATTCTTTCCTGTGAGGGTGGTGAGGCACTGGAATGGGTTGCCCAGGGAGGTTGTGAATGCTTCATCCCTGGTGGTGTTCAAGGCCAGGTTGGACGAGGACTTGGGGGACCTGGTTTAGTGTGTGGTGTCCCTGCCCATGGCAGGGGGGTTGGAACTGGATGATCTTCAGGTCCTTTCCAACCCCAACTATTCTATGATTCTATGTAAATGTCAGCTCATTCTGACACTATCTTGTTGCAGAACTCTCAGTAACCAGTGATGCTGTTTGCTGTAATTTAATGCTTTTCTTACAAACATTAATGATACTGAAGCTTTCATTGAAACTGGGCATGATGTGTATGCAGCAAGCTGTATCATCTGTTGTAAGAGCTTTAGGAGAGCTTCTAGCAGCTGCCTTCCTTTCTTCAGTTTTGAACATATCTGAACACTAGTCTTGACCCAGACAATAAAATGGAATCTAAGGTCAAATACAATCCGTAAATATAATCAGTGAGAAATATAAGTATTTCTCACTGATGCCAGAAATAATTGTCTCCTTCTTTGTGCCAACAAACTCAAGAGGGTACTTGTGGGTCATTTCCACAGTATTAAGTTAAATCTAACCTAAACCATTAAGCTGAGCAGTTTTAAGAGATTACATCTGTAGTTGTGTAACAGAAATTCATATAGGAGGGTGTCTGGAGCTGATTTTCTAATGTTGTGATGCTAAATTAAATATCAAACACCCTTGCAGAGCAGCTGGGCAACTCCAGGTATTACTAGCCTAATGTACTATACAGGATATTTAACGTATGCAGACCAGTAAAGCATGTGATACGTGCAGTACACAGTTAAGAGTGGTGATGCTAAAATCTTATTTTGGAGAGTTCATTTGTCTGTATTCTTCATAAAGGGAATACCAGTGTGTTTTTATCAAGTGTGAACCTGAAGCCTCTCCTCCGTTAACGACACTTTAGAAAGTACTCACAGAACACTATTAGAAGTTATTGCTAATTGAACAACAGAATGAAGGTCTTAGTGTAATAGTTTTTCCTGAAGACTAAATATTTTCTCCATAGACTATGGAGAAGATTGGGATATTTTTACAGTTTAGTGGCTCTGATCCATACCAGGTGATCACAGACTGGAAGGTGGCTGTACAGGAGTGAGTTGCGGTCATCAGACCACTGGAGACAAGTGTCCCCATTGTGCGTGTTGACCTGTGTGGCTTGAGCACAGGACTTCTCACTGTTTTCTATAGGATTAAGTCCGTATTAGCTTCTTTGAAAGGAGTTGTCTGTTTTCCAAGAGTGGGAACTGTGATCCTTGAGAGTGTGGCCAAGTGTGGTGCTGCCTTCCAGAACTGGACGAGATGAGCAGTTAAAGAGAAGAGTGAATGTTAAACACAATGTAAGTTCTGTAACTCCTCCACCTTTTTGTTTCTGTTTGATGACTCACCCGATGTTTTTCAGGTCCAGGACACATCCTTTATTCTCTGTGTGGTGGTAATACAGCCAGAAATACCTGTTAAGCAGCTGAAGAATCTCAACACAGTCCCCAGCAGCAAGCTCCTGTATCATCGACTGGATCTGCTGGGCCAGCCAAACGCCTGCCTGCACTTCAAGCAGCTGGCTACCTTAGGTAAAGCCTCCTCACAATTCATCTGGACCACCTCGTGTGTGTTTCTGTGGAGTGTGGCAGTAGAGAGCTTCTCACAAAACCCTGGAAATACTCTTGAGAGGCTTTTACTTCCAAGGCTGATTCTTTAATCAGCTGTTACCTTTCATTGATCATAGCTCCCCTGCTCAATGGCCAGCACTTGCACGGATGAACGCAGTGGGACTGCTCATCAGAGTACAAGATAAATGCAGCTTGAGTGCATTTATCTAACTTGATCTGGGAACTCCATCAAGTTCCCAGAAACTGGAGTACTGAGAGCGAGAGATGCCTCACCAAGCTTAAAACTCAGTTCTCTGCTCTCAGCTGTAAAGCAGCTTATTGACAACCTAAGTAAGATGAAGTCACAGCCAGTTGTGCAGGGCTCCTATTCTTTTGACTTTGGATTTGTGCAGGTTTCTCATTGCCATAATCATTTAATACCATCAATCCATGTGAAGCCAGAAGTTAAGCCTGTTGGGGGAAACTGAACTTCAGTGGTGTGATGGTTTCCAGCCCCTCCTTACCTGCTTCAGTTGTTGGGTTACTGACATATTCCTGCTTTTAAGCTTAACCAATTCTGCTCTGCCTAAATTCAGTAGTTGCTCAAACATAACAGGAAAGAGGGAGAGTCTCCATGGCAGTATAAATTCTAGTGTCTGGAAAGAATAGGGAGCTTAAAATATATCCTAAGAACATAGAAGGTTTTTATCTAATCATAGTAAGTTGCAAATTTTCATATCTGAGTATTAACCTTTGGGGATTTGCTAAAATCTGTGCTATATTATGAGAAGTTCTCAAGTGCTTTTGTTTGTAGCAAGGTTTGAAGGTCTCATGGTGGATTTTCTTAGTTATATTGCAGTGCCACAAATAGCTAAGTGAGATTAGACTGGAGGGGTTATGGGGGAACTTAACAAACCTATGGAAATTGCTTTGCCAATTGTTTAAAATACAGGGGGTTTTCTTTCTTTAATGTGCTGCCTAGGCTTGATTATTTTCTATCCAGAAAGACAAGATATAAATGGAAAATATCCAAAAACCCCAGTAGTAAGCTGACAAGTGGAAAAACTTCATGCAAAGCAAAAATACCATCACATCAGAGTATTTGGTCTGGGAAGCAGATGAAGGACTGTAATAGAAGTTTGTAAGCGATGACTGCAGTACATCTGGTTGCTGGCTGTATGGTGATGTGTTTTAGAGGAATGTGAATAAAAGCAGAACACTCCACATAAGTCCAGCGAAATTTTTCCCCTGGAGACCATTACACATGGGGAAATTGGGTTCCATGGGTCAAATACTCAGAAAAGGAGTTCTCAGCCTTCAGCACTGCATCATCGCCATCATTTTTCTTTTAAAAAGAAAAAGCTGTCTGGTACTGCAGTTTCTGCACAATGAAAGTTCATTTTCTAGTCTGTTCTGAAAATCATCCAGACAGCTACACTGCTGTTGGTAACCTCCCTCTTCTGGGCTTGTAATTCTCCATTTGGTCATTATCTGTTGCTGCAATTTCAACTGAAATGAATTTGTTTGTTACCTGTAACTTTGGACAAGGGCCTGTAGGGACAGGCCAAGGGGAATGGCTTTAAGCTGCCAGAGGGGAGTCTGAGATGAGCTCTTAGGCAGAAGCTCTTCCCTGGGAGGGTGCTGAGGCGCTGGCACAGGGTGCCCAGAGAAGCTGTGGCTGCCCCATCCCTGGCAGTGTTCAAGGCCAGGTTGGACACAGGGGCTTGGAGCAAGCTGCTCTAGTGGAAGGTGTCCCTGCCCGTGGCAGGGGTTGGAGCTGGATGAGCTTTAAGCTCCCTTCCAACACAAACGAGGCTGGGATTCCATGGTTCTAAGTGGACTGACTTTGTGAATCCTGCATTTTGAAGCAAGGAAGGTTGTTCACGTGCAGCCTGAGTTTTGTCTGTGCCTGGGGAGCCAAGTGGTGCTGGTGAATGCTCTGGTTTGGGTGGAAAACCTGAAGTTTCCTGCCCATGCTCACAGCCCACCCATGGCCTGAAGGAGCTGTGTGCTTTGCGTTCCAAAGTGTGGGAGAATGGAGGAGCAGACCGAGGAGCGAACAGTGCATGAGTGTAATTCCCTCCATGTGTCCTCAGCCAGGACATCACACCAGATACCCTTCACAGTACAGTTGTGTTTGCTGTGCACTGTGTGCAGTTCACTGGCCTTTCTCACATTTTGCTCTTTTCAGAAAGCCCCACAGTAATGCTCTCTGCGGGCAGCTTCTCTTCTCCTTACGAACACCTCAGCCAGCCCGAGACCAAGCGGATGGTGGAGCATTACACGGCGTACCTCAGTGACAACACGCGCCTCATTGCCAATCCTGGCCTGAAGGTATGCCCTGGTGATGGAGGTCATGGTTCCCTCTTGTCCCACACCTTCATTCGGGAGGAACACTCATCTTCTGATGCTCAAAGGGTTATGGAAAGGTGGTTTGGAATGTTGTTCCCATGCCTGGGGAAATGGCTGTGGGCTTCAAGGCCTGGAAGAGTGGAAAGAAGAGGGAGAAGGCTTCCTCCCCAGGAGGGGGGAAGGAAGCTGATAAGCAGCTGTTGAAATAAATACTAGAGAAACTAAAGTTGCAATCAATTCTTAGCTGAAAAAACTTTGTTTTCTTAAGCACACAAATGAGAAATGTGTTTTGCATGCAAGCCAAGCAGTGTTTGTATTTACATGAAGTAAAAAGGCAAACCCTCAAAGCCTCAGAGATAATGACAACATTATTTCATTATAATAAGCTTTCCCTTTGCTTGGAATGTGCCAGATCCGTCTGGTGTGAGAAGACTTGAGACAAGTAATTGAGTTTAGATGATCTCCGATCGCTCTGTAGGAAACCCCACGAGCAGCTCATTATCTTTTCCTGCAAGTCTTAGAGGAACCCTGCCAGGTCTGCCTTTGTTTTGCAGTTCTCTGTCAGAAATGAAGTAATGGCTACCAGTCACGTCACAGATGAATGGATGACACAAATGGAAATCAGCATCCTCAACAGTTACATTGTGCGCCGTTACATAGCAACCCCCAATGGGGTGCTCCGAATTTACCCCGGTTCCCTCATGGACAAAGCATTTGATCCCACCAGGAGACAATGGTGAGTTTTTAGGGTGCCGTTATCAAAGCTTTGGATAATCCCAAAGGGCAATAAGGGAAATAGTTGGGATCCATTTCATAGCCTGGGTTTTTTCATGGCCAGCTCATAAACTACTTAACTAGAAATGTTTTCATCCTTGGTGCTTAAATACAGCTTGTTAAAACCTTCCTTGGTTCTAATTTCAATCCTTCTTATTTCAAGTGATAGCTTCTGTTTCACATCCCTGCCATGGCAGATGGGACTATAAATACGCAGGAAATGAGCATCCCCTTCAGGATTAGCCGATTCAGGAGCATTTTCAGGTCCTTGTGCCATCTTTGGTTGTGAATATTTCAGTCTTTCTGTTTGTTTACAGCAGGTTTCCTTGCTCATTTACAGCAGGAATTTGCTGGCTCGATGCTCTATTAATTATGCAGCAGCATCTGATTTGGGAAAATATTTGTATCCATTACAAACGAGAGCTGGAGCCATGAGAGCGCTCTGGAGCGTGTGTGGATGTGTGCTTGGTTGAAAGGAGCCAGCCAGGTACTTCCACACCATGACGCTGGGAAAGGCCTGAGCCAGCGGCTCCGGCTGCACAGGGAAGGCTCTGAAATGCTCCTGGCAGTGGCCATGCTGTCGTTCTTTGATACAGGTTTTCCCTGAAAATACCATTACCGTGGCTACTGGTTAGGTTTTCCTCAGGATTTTGTTCTTTTTGTGATGGAATTTTGATGGTTTTTTGGTATTAAGATAAATGGGGTGCGTTCATATAGATCATATACATATATATATTTTAATATACATCATACGTACCATAGTGAAAAATTTCTTCCCTGTGAGGGTGCTGAGGCGCTGGCACAGGGTGCCCAGAGAAGCTGTGGCTGCCCCATCCCTGGCAGTGTTGGGGACTTGGAGCAAGCTGCTCTAGTGGAAGGTGTCCCTGCCCGTGGCAGGGGGTTGGAACTGGGTGAGCTTTAGGGTCCCTTCCAACCCAAACCATTCTGTGGTTCTATGAATCTGTGATACTGCAAATGAACTGAGTGCACATTTACAATCCCGTGTCTTCATTTTAAAAGCTCCCGTATTATTTTCATTATTGGCTTTGGGTGGGATTTTTTTCTTACCTTTCACATTTCCCTGATTTTCTAGATCCATGATTTTGGAAACGCCTCCATGTGCAGCATGCAATAGCGCCCTGGTTTTTATGTAAAGCCAACGGGCAGTGTTGGGGAAAGAAGATGCAAGTAAAACACTAGAAATAAAGTAGAAGTCAGTTGAGCTCCTTGCACAGCCCAGTCCAGGCTCATAGGTTAATGCACTGTGGTAGAGAAAAGCAAAGCTTTTTCATACAGAAAAGTGTTTCCAACACCTGGAATGTTTTATAATCTATTATAGTACGATAAGAAGATAAATGACATGGTTGTGGCTTATTTTGTGTTGAAAGTAAGTTTATAAAGAGATTGTAGTCACTTTCTGGCCTATTTCTGAATTCTCTTGCCTGAATTCTGTGTACAGGATGTCATTCCTTCTCCATTTGCAGCATATCAATTTTGACAGCATTTACTTTGTGTTTGGGACTGCTGGCACTAAGTCATAGGATGTTTTAGGGGGAAAATGTGTAAAATTACATTAAATATGTTCTGTGTAGAATGAATTAAGCTTTTAATGCAGTTGGATGCAACGAGGAGCATTTATTTAGCTAGTCTGTTTTAGGTCTGGGTCCTAATCGTGCTTAGGTATCTGTTTACTATGAAGAAACATCAATTTGGTAGCACATCGTGCAGAATTCAGTGTCTGTCTGTATTCCTGCAAGGGCAAGGATGATGCCTTAAAGGTTAAGGTAACCATTTGTCACTAATTCTGATCATTTTCTTTGTCTTCCCTTAGGTACTTGCATGCAGTGGCTAACCCAGGACTCATTACCTTAACTGGTCCCTACTTGGATGTTGGAGGGGCTGGCTACGTTGTGACAATCAGTCATACAGTCCATTCCTCCAGGTAAATGGTGTTCTGAGGTTTGTGCCAAGCAAATATACTCTCAAAGATCAAGAGTTGCTTTGGGTGGGAGAGAAAAATGCAGGGTGACTCCGATGTGTTCAAGAACTGAAAACCAAACCTGGTTTTAAAGTGCTTTTGGTGACCTTAGAGCAGCTCCAGTGCCTAAAGGGGCTCCAGGAAACCTGGAGAGAAGCTTTGGACAAGGGGCCTGCAGGGACAGGCCAAGGGGAATGGCTTTAAGCTGCCAGAGGGGAGACTGAGATGAGCTCTTAGGCAGAAGCTCTTCCCTGTGAGGGTGCTGAGGCGCTGGCACAGGGTGCCCAGAGAAGCTGTGGCTGCCCCATCCCTGGCAGTGTTCAAGGCCAGGTTGGACACAGGGGCTTGGAGCAAGCTGCTCTAGTGGAAGGTGTCCCTGCCTGTGGCAGGGGTTGGAGCTGGAGGAGCTTTAAGTTCTTCCCTGTTGGGACAGAGCAGTAACTTCATAGCTTGATGCCTTGCCATATACAGTTAAATGTATCCGTGCTGCTTCACTGTCATCCTGTTCCCGTTCCTTCTCCCTGGAATGGGTAATGTGAAAACCAAGTTAAAGGCAGGGTTTTAGGATCTGTATTTGTAAATCTACAAATCAGATTTGTCTGCACCTTCACTGCGCCTCCTTAAAAGCCACCAAGCTCCAGTCCAGTAAACAGAGTTGGTTTTATGTGCTAAGGGGCTGCCAAGAGCCTCTGCTTTGTGTAGCCCAGCTGTGCCATTCGCTATCTTCTTTTTCTCAGCATTTTCCTTCCCAGATTCAGAGATAAAATGATTTAGAAGAGTATTTTAAGAAGCAGCAAGTCAAAGGTGTCTCCTCTGCCATTAACATAAGGCTCACAGAGGTGCACAACAGCACACCCGGGCATTTGAGGACGAGCTGATCATTGTGCATCCTTCAGGGATGAGAGGTAGCTTGGTCTGGCCGTGCCATCCCAGTGCTGCAGGAAGCACAAGTTGAGAGGTTGGATGTTAGAAACCTGGTGACAGAGATTCCCTCATCGTTGGGTCCAGCCTCAGGCTCCTGCACACCACCACCTAACAGAGGCACTTCCTAACCTGCCCTAATCAATATTGTTGTCCTGTGTTTTGGGGCTGAAATTCATAATCCCTCCTACACTGTGGGATTTTAGGGATTTAGCAGCAGGTCTATGGCAGCTTCATACTCGGGTCCCAACGCTGGGGACTGAGCAAAGAGGAGCAGTGCAGAACACAACCACAGTGAGGCGGTGGGGATTCGGGGCCTAGAGATGCAGATGCCACATCCTACATTGACTTGTGTCGGTGGGGAGTTTTAACCCTAATGGCTGTTGCTAAATATCAACTGTCTGTAGGTGGTGGGGTGTCTGTAAGAGTGGAGGGAGAAGAGCCCGTGGGGAGATGGGTCAGTTCCTGGGCCTGTGGCAGGGGTTGGAACTGGATGAGCTTTAAGGTCCCTTCCAACCCAAACCCTTTTAGGATTCAGTGATTTAAACACAAAGAGGGTGAACTGAGCTTCAGCATGGAGGTGTGGGTTCGAGCTGGTCCTTTATACAGCAAGGAAGCCAGTCCCAGGTCAAGTAGGGAACTGAGTAATTGAAATATCCATTACTAATAGAGCCATGAAAGCCGCTTCCTTTCTTCCTCCTCTCCCTGCAGTGCTCAGATGTCTTCGGGACATTCAGTGGCAGTGATGGGCATTGACTTCACCCTGCGATACTTCTACAAAGTCCTCATGGACCTGCTACCAGTTTGTAACCAAGACGGAGGAAACAAACTAAGGTAAGCTGAGGAACTGCTGCCAGGCAGGAAATACCTAAAGCCTTTTCCTTTCCTTCTCCTTTCCTTTAACCAGATGACCCAGAGCTACTTCCCAGGCTCTCTTATTCTGGGATTCTGCTCCTTTTAGTGTGTGTTCTCTGATAGCCACTGAAAGTTGTGACTGTTCTTCTCATAAAGATGATGAGGACTTTATTTAAGACCAAGCTGTCATCAGCCAAGCAGTCAGGCTGCAGGATTACAAAACCAGAAGATAACTTCATTTAGACATCAGTGAAATCCTGGGCAGCCCCCCCAGTTCTTTACTAAATGATCCCGCTTCCCATTCTCTTCTGTTTGTTTTCATTCTGCTATTTAGTTCCTGTGAGCATGTCATGATGATGTATTAGCTCTAATTATTAAAACTACGATTATTAAAACCGACTTTTGATGTATTTGTCTCAGAAGTACATAGCACAGCACTAGGCAGAAGTAGTCTGAGTTTATTTAGCACTATGTGGAACTGAACTGTTCCTCTCTAAGCGTGGGGGAGCAGGGGTAGGCTCTGGTTTGGATCTGGAGTAACTTGGTAAGAGGATTTGGGCATTGTTGTTTCTTTGTTTGCTTTTAAACCTGAAATCTGGAAGGGAAGTGGTTTTGTGTCGTCCTCCAGTTGTTTTCTGGTTTGGTTTGGGTATTCTTTAATCTGTTTTTATGGTGTACCAAAGAAAATGAGGGTTTCTGGTTTGGCGTTCCTTCCCCCTGCCAGTTAAAAACTGCTAAGAGTCAACAGGGTCAGATGCTTTATTCTGTTTCCTCATTCCCTAAGTGAGGAATTTCAAGCATATTGTTAACTGCTTTGTTAGACCATTCTAACGTAGCTGGACCTGATGCTTACAGGCTCTGTGTACATGCACACAGGTACTAAGAGCCACCTCTTGTAACTGTCTGGCAGGCATCTGGGGGTTTTAATGTACCTCTACGAAGCTTTTTCTCTCTGGAGTCACTCTGTTTTCCAGCTACAAGTTTTCATGACTCCTTTGCATGCCTAAAGTGCACAGTCCCATCTAGAGAAGCTGATTGCTTTAAGTTATAGCTGCTCTCTGCCTCCACGAGCCAATGGCAGGGGGTTGGAGCTAAGTGATCTTTGAGGCCGCTTCCAACGCAACCCATTCCATGTTTCTGTGTAGGCAGAGCTTTACACAGCAGAGTGCCATGGGAATCCCAGCCTTGAAAGTGTTGGCCGGCCCCAGGCAGGAGGCTGCCACCCCGCTGGGCTCTTTGGGAGCACTGAGTGGTCACATGAACCTCCTCCTGTCCCCCTTGTGCAGGCACTGAGTCTCTTGATCTCGCCTTCCCCAGCGTGGCTGTCTGCAGCTATGGAAACGGGAGATGCCCAAACCAGCAGGGATTAAATCCTTGCAGCACTCTGGTTTCGGGATAGGGGCACAGATCCGACGTGGTTTCCCTGAGATCACATGGGGGAAAGTCATGGGATGAGGTGAAAAGGGAGAGGAAGGGATGGGAAGGCTGAGGGTGAAACAGGAGTGATTGATCTCCCTGTTAAAATGGAATGCTAAAGCAGGAGGTTATGAAAGGCGAGTGTGAAATCTCTGTGTCATCAGTAAGATAGGAGACCTTGGTTTTATTTGGATCTTTCCTCATCAGACAAGAAAAGACACTGAGCAGTTTTCCTTTCTGTTTCTAGTCCATTCCCTTTTCAAGTCCTAGATGGTCCAGGCTTGCTGTAAGAGTTCCAGGTTTAAAAGCTGCTGGGAAATACCCAATATACTCTTTAAAGCATTTTACAGTGAATTTGTTTCATGGCCCTGTTAGTTCAGTAAAGGGAAGCCTTTAAAACTTGTCCTCTGGCTGTCAATTGAAGATCATGTTTTATCTCGTTGGGGTCTAATGGGGAGCTCTCTGCTTTGTTTGTTGTGTGCAGGTGCTTTATCATGGAGGACAGAGGGTACCTTGTGGCTCACCCAACCCTCATCGATCCCAAGGGCCACGCACCGGTGGAGCAGCAGCACATCACCCACAAGGTCTGCCTCCTTTTCCCCTTGGTTTAATCCTGCCTTTCTGAGGTGGTGAGGGCTGTAGAGAAGCCGCTGTCTGTGTCTGATTTCAAAGGCATAAAGTCCTGGTTTTCACCTAGGAGCCTCTGGTAGCGAATGACATTCTGAACCACCCCAACTTTGTCAAGAAAAACCTCTGCAACAGCTTCAGTGACAGAACAGTTCAGCGCTTTTATAAATTCAACACCAGCTTAGTGGTGAGTGTGTTTTTCTGTCTGCTTTTGCTCTTGAATGTACTTTGGTTGGGTTGGCTTTCTTTTGGAAAGCCTTGCCAGGATGGGCAGAGGAGGCTGGAAGCCAGCCTGCCCTGTGGGTTGGCCTCCGTTCACCCTCCCCAAACCCAGCATCAGCCATCTGCACTGCACAGGCTGTGTTTGCACGAGGAGTCACTTGACATACAAGGGATGATGGACGTCTCTGATAAATTCAGCTCCTAGTTTGGTGTCCAGATAAATGCATTTACTGATGCGAGGTACATGAGGAATCCCAGCCTGGTTTGTGTTGGAAGGGACCTTAAAGCCCATCCAGTTCCAGCCCCTGCTGCTGGCAGGGACACCTTCCACTAGAGCAGGTTGCTCCAAGGCCCTGTGTCCAACCTGGCCTTGAACACTGCCAGGGATGGAGGGATGGAGCATTTACAAGTTCCTTGGGCAGCCTGGTCCATTGCCTCACCACTGTCACAGGGAAGAACTTCTTTATTATATCCAACCTAAATCTCCCCTGTTTAAACCCATTCCCCTTTGTCCTGACCCTACAATCCCTAATGAAGAGGCCTTCCACAGCTGTTCCTCCCAGCAGTAGCAGCTTGGAAGCAGAACTCAAGAGGTTGATGAACAGGTTCATGTGAAGGCAATTTTACTTGTGAAGGCCGCACTCCCGTGCATTTGTGTTCCCTCAGCTCTGTGGGTTTCCTTGGAAGGGGGCAAGTCTTCAGCTCTAAACCAGTGAGTTTCTTGCTATGCTGTTGACACTGCTTGTGTTGTGTTCCTTAGGGTGACCTGACGAACCTGGTCCATGGCAGTCACTGCTCCAAGTACAGGCTGACCCGAATTCCAGGCACCAATGCCTTTGTGGGAATCGTCAACGAGACCTGCGATTCACTTGCCTTCTGTGCCTGCAGTATGGTAGACAGGCTCTGCCTCAACTGCCACAGGTGAGCAGGAGATGGGAAATGAGGCTCCAGGCATTTACCATTTCCCTCTTTCCTGACCTCAGCTTTAGAAAAAGCACATTTATTTTGTAAGTGAAATGAAAGCATGCAGGGAAAAACTGAGGTGAAAACCAACCAGCTACTTCACCTACGTTGATGGTAAGAGACACAGTGACTTGGCCTCCTGCTCATCCTTTGCCATGCTGTCAGTGTATGAAAATCCAGGGTAGTTTATTCTCGATACGTGAGGAAGGAATTCTTTACAATAAGGGTGGTAAAACCCTGGCACAGATTGCCCAGGGAGTGGTGGATGCACCATTCCTATAGACATTCCAGGCCAGGCTGGATGCGGTTCTGGGCCACCTGATGTGGTTGAAGATGTCCCTGCTCGTTGCAGGGGGTTGGACTGGATGAGCTTTGAAGTTCCCTTCCAACCCAAGCTATTCCGTGATTTTATGTTAAAATGCCCCAACGGATTTAGTTTCTCAGAGCAGTTATTTGTGGATCAGGCCCTTTGTTCAGCATATTAATACCACAGTTTTATGTGGCTTGATGTGGTTTTCCCATGGAGGGCATCCTGGTGCTTGCAGGAGGTGTTGACTCCACCAGCATCATTACCCGTTTGTGGCACTGGCAAGAGCAGCACAGAACAGTTTAGGTGGAAAAGACCTTTAAGATTGAGTCCATGCATTAACCCAGCACTGCCAGGCTACCTCGCTTTGCTGTAGCTTCTCGTCCTCCTGGGCTGGATGTGGGGAGTGAGGACAGATGTGAGACTTGTCCAGGGCTGAAATGTCAAGGGGTGGGTACCAAGAGAGCAGGGAGGCTCTGCCACTGCTTTCTCCTCAGTCCCGGAGCAGAGCAGAGCAATCCCTGTGTTCCTGTGGAAGGAGAAAGGTGGCTGAGCAGCCTTCCCCGCGGTGAGCTGCTGTTAGAGCTGCACGGCGGGGTTCCCATCGCGGTGCGATGCCTGAGGCGTTTTCTCCCTGCAGGATGGAGCAGAACGAATGCGAGTGCCCGTGCGAGTGCCCTCTCGAGGTGAATGAATGCACCGGCAACCTCACCAACGCCGAGAGCAGGTGAGGCCCAACCTCCCCTGATCCACAGCTGGTGACAAAGGCCGTGAACAAAGTCACCTGTTTGTTCCCACTAACTTCGAGGTGATACAGGCTATAGATCTGGTAGCTGTAGATGATATCTAATAGGTAAAAGTGATGGTTTTCACTGTGCTTTGACTACTTCTGTAATACAAGGCTCTGCTTTTTGCCCTGCCATAGGAATCCGAGCTGTGAAGTTCATCAGGAGCCAATGACTTTCACAGCAATTGATCCCAGCCTGCAGGATGGACTCCCACAGTGCATTAACACTCAGTGCAACCAGAAAACAGAGAGCGGGTAAAGTGGCCTTCTCCATCCCTCAGAATACACTGTGTACTTGAAATAATTGAGTGCAAATAGCTCTTCCTTATGGTTCTGAATGGAAAAAAAAGGCCTGATGGCAGAATGAGATCTTACAGCACACACCAGTGGTGACTTTATGCTCCAGCACAAAAACAGAAGACCCCAGGGTTCCCATTTGAGTGGCACGACACCATTAGCAGCAACCAAATGGCCTTCCTGTCACACTCTGTGGCTCTGAGAACTGAGGGTTTTGCAAATGGAAGATTTGCTGTTGAAAGGACAACAGATTCTTCCTTTTGAGCAAAATGGATGGTGCTGTGATGTTTGTCTGCGTGCTGGAGATGTGTGCGGGCTGAAGTGTTCGTGGAATGCAGACTGTGCTTTGGCAGTGGTGACTTGGGAACACATCAGAGATGGTAGCTCCCTGTCCATTTCTAGCTTCTTGCTTCTCTGTTCCACTCCAGCATTACACAGAGAAGCTCGAGGGCTGGTTGTTCTTTTGCTAGCTGAAAGAGGTCTCCAGGGAGCTGAGATTGCTGGAACACCTCGTGCTCAGACCGGACTTTCCAAATGCTTTCTTCTGTCTTCCAAAGGACTGCAGAGAAAGGGTGGAACCACAGTCAGACCTCACCACGCTGAGGAATGTCTTGCTGGAGGGGTTACAAGAAGGATTTGCTCAGGCTGAGTGATGGAGGAAAAAAAAGCAGAGCAAACAGACTTGGGAGATGCATGCTGAGGATGCAGCTTCCCTGTGTAACTTCCCTGGTGGTACCTGAGCAGTTGAATGACAAGGGTTTGGTGGCCAAGCGTTATGTATGTGAGGGCTCGTGGATGATTTTGGCCTCCCTCTGTCTCACGACTCTAAAATAGGCTGAGCTGTGTCAAACAAGGAGTGTTAACATTTAAAGTACATAAAGTCTTGTCTTGGTTTTCACTTTCAGGGACTGCTTTGGTGTGTTGGACTGTGAGTGGTGTATGGTCGACAGCGATGGGAAGACCCATCTGGATAAGTCCTACTGTGCCCCTCAGAAGGAATGCTTCGGTGGCATTGTGGGAGCCAAGAGCCCCTACGTGGATGACTTGGGAGCAATAGGTAACTCTGCCTTTCTGAATAGGTGCTGCATTTAACTGTGCTCAGTAACATGTGCTTTCAGTGTCAGAGCATGCTTCTCATAATGTGTCTGCATATATTTTTATATAAGTATTTTATATATATATATATATATATGTATATGGGTATAAATATAATGGGAGAAGGGCTTTGGACAAGGGGAATGGCTTTAAGCTGCCCGAGGGGAGACTGAGATGAGCTCTTAGGCAGAAGCTCTTCCCTGTGAGGGTGCTGAGGCGCTGGCACAGGGTGCCCAGAGAAGCTGTGGCTGCCCCATCCCTGGCAGTGTTCAAGGCCAGGTTGGACACAGGGGCTTGGAGCAAGCTGCTCTAGTGGAAGGTGTCCCTGCCCGTGGCAGGGGTTGGAGCTGGATGGGGTTTAAGGTCCCTTCCAACCCAAACCAGGCTGGGACCCTGTGAGTGGATAATTTTCAGAGATATTCCTTTAAATATTTCCACAGAGCGTTTATGGCTTTTTTTCCCCTCTGTTTTGTCCCTTTTGTTGTAGGGGATGAGGTGATCACTCTGAACATGATCAAGAGTGCACCAGTCGGCCCGGTGGCTGGAGGCATTATGGGCTGCATTATGGTGCTTGTCCTAGCAGTGTATGCGTATCGGCACCAGATCCATCGGAGGAGTCACCAGCACATGTCACCTTTGGCTGCTCAGGGTGAGCTGATAACTCTGCAGAGAGAAATGGGAGGGTTTGGAATTAAACCAACTACAAAACAAAACCCAAACCCAAGCAAACAAAACCCAACGCAAAACCAACTAGAAATATCCCAAACCTCTTTCCATGGTTTTGTTTCAGTGCTTCACCCCATTTCATTTCCCTTTAGCTAACCCTTCCATCAGCCTGCTCCCATCCAGGTCACTGTGTATTGCTGCCCTGGGGGTTGGTTTAATTCCAAACCCTCCCATTTCTCTCTGCAGAGTTATCAGCTCACCCTGAGCAGCCAAAGGTGACATGTGCTGGTGACTCCTCCGATGGATCTGGTGCCGATACGCATACACTGCTAGGACAAGCACCATAATGCAGCCCATAATGCCTCCAGCCACCGGGCCGACTGGTGCACTCTTGATCATGTTCAGAGTGATCACCTCATCCCCTACAACAAAAGGGACAAAACAGAGGGGAAAAAAAGCCATAAATGCTCTGTGGAAATACTTAAAGGAATATCTCTGAAAATTATCCACTCACAGGCTCCCAGCCTGGTTTGGGTTGGAAGGGACCTTAAACCCCATCCAGCTCCAACCCCTGCCACGGGCAGGGACACCTTCCACTAGAGCAGCTTCCTCCAAGCCCCTGTGTCCAACCTGGCCTTGAGCACTGCCAGGGATGGGGCAGCCACAGCTTCTCTGGGCAACCTGTGCCAGCGCCTCAGCACCCTCACAGGGAAGAGCTTCTGCCTAAGAGCTCATCTCAGTCTCCCCTCGGGCAGCTTAAAGCCATTCCCCTTGTCCAAAGCCCTTCTCCCATTATATTTATACCCATATACATATATATATATATATATATAATACTTATATAAAAATATATGCAGACATGTTATGAGAAGCATGCTCTGACACTGAAAGCACATGTTACTGAGCACAGTTAAATGCAGCACCTATTCAGAAAGGCAGAGTTACCTATTGCTCCCAAGTCATCCACGTAGGGGCTCTTGGCTCCCACAATGCCACCGAAGCATTCCTTCTGAGGGGCACAGTAGGACTTATCCAGATGGGTCTTCCCATCGCTGTCGACCATACACCACTCACAGTCCAACACACCAAAACAGTCCCTGAAAGTGAAAACCAAGACAAGACTTTATGTACTTTAAATGTTAACACTCCTTGTTTGACACAGCTCAGCCTATTTTAGAGTCGTGAGACAGAGGGAGGCCAAAATCATCCACGAGCCCTTACATACATAACGCTTGGCCACCAAACCCTTGTCATTCAACTGCTCAGGTACCACCAGGGAAGTTACACAGGGAAGCTGCATCCTCAGCATGCATCTCCCAAGTCTGTTTGCTCTGTTTTTTCGCCTCCATCACTCAGCCTGAGCAAATCCTTCTTGTAACCCCTCCAGCAAGACATTCCTCAGCGTGGTGAGGTCTGACTGTGGTTCCACCCTTTCTCTGCAGTCCTTTGGAAGACAGAAGAAAGCATTTGGAAAGTCCGGTCTGAGCACGAGGTGTTCCAGCAATCTCAGCTCCCTGGAGACCTCTTTCAGCTAGCAAAAGAACAACCAGCCCTCGAGCTTCTCTGTGTAATGCTGGAGTGGAACAGAGAAGCAAGAAGCTAGAAACGGACAGGGAGCTACCATCTCTGATGTGTTCCCAAGTCACCACTGCCAAAGCACAGTCTGCGTTCCACGAACACTTTAGCCCGCACACATCTCCAGCAGGCAGACAAACATCACAGCACCATCCATTTTGCTCAAAAGGAAGAATCTGTTGTCCTTTCAACAGCAAATCTTCCATTTGCAAAACCCTCAGTTCTCAGAGCCACAGAGTGTGACAGGAAGGCCATTTGGTTGCTGCTAATGGTGTCGTGCCACTCAAATGGGAACCCTGGGGTCCTCTGTTTTTGTGCTGGAGCATAAAGTCACCACTGGTGTGTGCTGTAAGATCTCATTCTGCCATCAGGCCTTTTTTTTCCATTCAGAACCATAAGGAAGAGCTATTTGCACTCAATTATTTCAAGTACACAGTGTATTCTGAGGGATGGAGAAGGCCACTTTACCCGCTCTCTGTTTTCTGGTTGCACTGAGTGTTAATGCACTGTGGGAGTCCATCCTGCAGGCTGGGATCAATTGCTGTGAAAGTCATTGGCTCCTGATGAACTTCACAGCTCGGATTCCTATGGCAGGGCAAAAAGCAGAGCCTTGTATTACAGAAGTAGTCAAAGCACAGTGAAAACCATCACTTTTACCTATTAGATATCATCTACATCTACCAGATCTATAGCCTGTATCACCTCGAAGTTAGTGGGAACAAACAGGTGACTTTGTTCACGGCCTTTGTCACCAGCTGTGGATCAGGGGAGGCTGGGCCTCACCTGCTCTCGGCGTTGGTGAGGTTGCCGGTGCATTCATTCACCTCGAGAGGGCACTCGCACGGGCACTCGCATTCGTTCTGCTCCATCCTGCAGGGAGAAAACGCCTCAGGCATCGCACCGCGATGGGAACCCCGCCGTGCAGCTCTAACAGCAGCTCACCGCGGGCAAGGCTGCTCAGCCACCTTTCTCCTTCCACAGGAACACAGGGATTGCTCTGCTCTGCGCTGGGACTGAGGAGAAAGCAGTGGCAGAGCCTCCCTGCTCTCTTGGTACCCACCCCTTGACATTTCAGCCCTGGACAAGTCTCACATCTGTCCTCACTCCCCACATCCAGCCCAGGAGGAGGAGAAGCTACAGCAAAGCGAGGTAGCCTGGCAGCGCTGGGTTAATGCATGGACTCAATCTTAAAGGTCTTTTCCACCTAAACTGTTCTGTGCTGCTCTTGCCAGTGCCACAAACGGGTAATGATGCTGGTGGAGTCAACACCTCCTGCAAGCACCAGGATGCCCTCCATGGGAAAACCACATCAAGCCACATAAAACTGTGGTATTAATATGCTGAACAAAGGGTCTGATCCACAAATAACTGCTCTGAGAAACTAAATCCGTTGGGGCATTTTAACATAAAATCACGGAATAGCTGGGGTTGGAAGGGAACTTCAAAGCTCATCCAGTCCAACCCCCTGCAACGAGCAGGGACATCTTCAATCACATCAGGTGGCCCAGAACCGCATCCAGCCTGGCCTGGAATGTCTATAGGAATGGTGCATCCACCACTCCCTGGGCAATCTGTGCCAGCGATTTACCACCCTTATTGTAAAGAATTCCTTCCTCACGTATCGAGAATTAACTACCCTGGATTTTCATACACTGACAACATGGCAAAGGATGAGCAGGAGGCCAAGTCACTGTGTCTCTTACCATCAACGCAGGTAAAGTAACTGGTTGGTTTTCACCTCAGTTTTTCTCTGCATGCTTTCATTTCACTTACAAAATAAATGTGCTTTTTCTAAAGCTGAGGTCAGGAAAGAGGGAAATGGTAAATGCCTGGAGCCTCATTTCCCTCTCCTGCTCACCTGTGGCAGTTGAGGCAGAGCCTTGTCTACCCATACTGCAGGCACAGAAGGCAA